AGCTGGAATCAACAGTGGAGTTTGGCCTTGAAACCAGGCCTCCTCAAATGGAATATGGGCACCCTACTACTGCACCAAACCCCTGCTCACACTCACCCAGCGAGCTTCCCTCCCCAGGAGGCCTCACCGCGTTCATTGTGAGCCTCCCCCTTGCCTTGTGAGATCTTCCCGTTATTCCCACTTTTCACAGACTGCCACAGCCAAGCTGCTGCACAAAACCCTCCGCGTACTCTCCACAAAATGGGCTGCATCTGTGAACTCAACCAGGGCTAAGCCGCAAGCTGGCTGGATCCCTGCAAGCATCCCTGGCACCAGCACAGACCGCAGAAAGAATAAACAAGCGCTTGTCTGGTGAATGAACGGATGCCTCCTGATACAGAAATTGACAAAAATCGGGCATCGTTTGGGACACCCACATCCCTTCTCACTGCACTCTGCCTTCCATCAGCTTTCTTCTAACACAAGGTCTGGGGGCAGTACTTAGGTCGCTGCAATGATCCTGGAGCCCAGGGCTAGGGGTCCTGACTCTCCCTGGCTTTCGTTGGCCCAGTCCTGACTCTTACTCATCATCTGGGGAACGAATCAGGGGGTAGACGTGTGTGTGTGTGTGTGTGTGTGTGTGTGTGTGTGTGCGCGCGCGCGTGCCTTTCAAATAAAATGAAATTTTTTTTTTAGAACTTAAAACTTCCTAAGGTTTCAACTCGCAACTGTGCTGCAGGCTGAACATATTGGGCTCCTCTCGGTAACAAAGGGGCAAAATGTGCCACGTAATCGTTCCAGATACGGTAGCTGTGCGCATGACACATGACGTCAGCCAACATCCACTGAATGCGCTGACGACACACCACAGCCAGTACCGGGTGGTCTGAGCCTAACTCGTTCAACTTCACGGCCACACCCTAGTCGGGCGACCGGACCATCCGGCTCCCGAAACCAGGGCGTCCCCCCTCAGCAGCCGGCCGCCTGTTCCAGTACCCGGCCCGTCTGGCTCCTCGCGGCCGCCCCACCCCGGGGCGCGAGCGCGCGCACGTGGACACGCCCCCGGGTCGTGCCCGGCAGGCCGGCTGCCCGCGCCCGGCTGTGGGCACCTGCAGGCCCTCCCCACCTGTGCAGCCGGTGGCTCGCGCTGAAGGAAACCAGGCGGGACACCCGCGCCCAGCGGCGACCGCCCGAGCCCGCCGCGCTCATGGTCTTCCAGGCCCACGCCCTTTTCCTGTCCGCGCCGCTTCCTCGTGCGGCTGCGCAGGACGGGCTCGGCCGACTCCGGAAGCGTTCCCGCCGTTGGGCTCCAGCCAATCCCGGCCCGGGGAGCTCTCCACTCCTTCCCTGTCTATTCCTGAAGTTCGATTAGTTAGCGAAACCTCGAACGGACGCCCGTGGCTGGGGACTTAACGTCCAGAGGCCGCCCCGCACGTTTTGGGCCACCACAGTTACATGCTGGGTCCTCGAGTGACCACTCAAGCTTCTTCTCCTGCTCCTAGAAAGCCTGGGGTTAAACAGAAAGCTCCGGAGGCTGCTAACCCTTAATCAGATAAACCCCAGGACAACCATCCGCTTGTAGCATAAAAGGAGCAGAAATTTGAGAGTGCCGGGAGAACTGCTTAGTGTGAACACATGGCAGCCATCAACATGGCGTCTCTTTTATTTCCCTCCCCTAAATGCACAACTCTACTGCCAGTCAAGACACCTTGGGAGAGAAAGGCTCCTGTCTTCTCCCACCTGTTCACAAGAATGTTCATTCTACTTACTTTCGTCTCCTCTTGCCTCCATTCACTTTTCATTAAATATTTATTACAAATCTACCGTGTTGCTAGCCCTGTGACAGGCAGGTACAGGGGAGAAGAACTGGACACTGTATATGAGAAAAATCAAATGAGAAGCAGGAAACGCCAGTGATAACAGATTAGGAAAAGTTTTGTATATGTAAGAGAGGGGGGAAAAAAATCAATGGGACCTGGTGGAAATGTAAGGGCTGGAAAGTTATGGGTAACAGGGTATCTTGCCAGCGCTATCCATCTGAGACCTTTATGGCTTTCCCGAATAAAATATAGTGGGCTTTTTAAGATTTATTTTTATTGGAAAGACAAATCTACACAGAGAAGGGGTGACAGAGAAAAAGATCTTCCGTCTGCTGGTTCACTCCCCTAGTGGGTTCAATGGCCAGAGCTGAGCTGATCTGAAGCTGGGAGCCAGGATCTTCTGAGTCTGCCACATGGTGGCAGGGTCCCAAAGACTCAGGCCATCCTGCATTGCCTTCTTCGACCACATGTAAGGAACTGGCTGGGAAGTAGAGCAGCCGGGACATGAACCAGTGCCCAAATGGGATGCTGGCAGGTGCAAAGCAAGGAGTTAGCCACTGAGCCATAGCACCAGGCCCAGTCTTCTGACACAAATAAACCCAGCACAAACCTAGGGAATGTTGTGTGGGTGAAATGACTGACTCTAATCTCAAAGCACAGAAGCCTAAGAGGAGTATTGTTTATAGTGGCTAGATCCTTCGGTAGCTTCAAGAACTTTGTAGAAGGCAGGGCTGGGGCAGAATTCAATGGTGATTTCTCCCAGATGTTTCCTGTCTCCTATTATAGACAAGGGATCTTCAAGAGTTAGCAGAAAATAATCTAAGCCTCAGGAGGTTCAGCTTTGTCACATGCACTCCATGGTCAGACCATGGAACCTGCATGGTTGGAGTTCTAAGATCAGCACTCAGTTTGGGGGGCTCCCCAAAGAAACTTTGTCTGAGGTGATCCCAGACCTGATTCCTGGGTGTGCTTGCCACTACAGGGTCTGGCACAGTTTGTCACCCCAATCAGCTTATGCATATGATGGTGGTTGCAATTGCTGGGTCAGTTCTGCCTCCATCCATGTCATCTATACAAACCAATGGGTGTTGCAGCCCTGCCCAATCCTGCCCACTACACACTCGGCCCTCACATAAATCAGTGGGAGCTGCAGCCTGGTGGGAGTGACCCGCAACAGCCCCCACCAGTCCTGCCTTCTGCCCTGGTTCTCGTGCTTGACAGTATGCACAGCAGATTGGTCCAGGCTGTCCCACATTCCATTCAGCTCCCCTAAACATCACTGGGCATTGAAGCCTAACTCAACCAATTTCAACCTCCAACCCTCATTCATGCCAGCAGGTGCCACTGCCTACCTAGTCAGGGCTGCCCCCAGTCCTTATTTTCATGTTCATCAATTAGAGCTGCAGCCCATCAGAGAAGTGCCCACTGTTTCCCTACTGGGCCCACTCCCGCTCCAGGATCTTGCAATCTGCAGGTGGTTCTGCAGGTTAACTCAATAGGACTTGGCCCCAGTTTCAGCACTTGCCAGCTGATGCTGCAGCAGAGCCCACCACCCTGTCCTTATTCTGACACAAAGTATTTTTTGTGTCAAAACTTTTTGAAGTACTCTCATTTTGTTTGTTCTAAATTCAATTATTATTATATAACAAACATTCTTTACACATTTTCAAATATTTGTCTCATCTCCCTCATTGGGTTATTTTTTTTTTTAAAGATTTATTTTTATTATTTTTTCATTGGAAAGGCGGATATACAGAGAGGAGAGACAGAGAGGAAGATCTTCCGTCCGATGATTCACTCCCCAAGTGAGCGCAACGGGCCGATACTATGCCGATCCGAAGCCAGGAGCCTCTTCTGGGTCTCCCACGCGGGTGCAGGTTCCCAAAGCCTTGGGCCGTCCTCGACTGCTTTCCCAGGCCACAAGCAGGGAGCTGGAAGGGAAGCGGGGCTGCCGGGATTAGAACCGGCGCCCATATGGGATCCCGGGGGTGCAAGGCGAGGACCTTTAACCACTTGCGCCACCGCGCCGGGCCCTGGGTTATTTTTTAAAAGAATTTCAAAGAATTATAAACTTTCATAGATTGTAGAGAAAGAAATTTTAATGGATAAGAAAGCAGAGGCTCAGATAAATGAATGACTTATCCAGGATCACTTAGAATAGCAACAGTATTCCCTAGGGACTAACTACAACAGATAAATGCGGTCTAGAATCTATTGTTACACAAACATTTCTCATTCCCAAAACAGTTGGAAGAATCAAAAGGTGAAAGGGCAAAAGCTATTTCTAAGAAGTTACTTTGATAAACAAGGTGCCCTACTAAAATATTTCATTGCATTTACAGAGTTCGTATGCCAAACTGTTTATCAGAAGTAATTCTATGTAAAAGTATTCACCAATTTTATCATCAGTGATCCTCACTGATCATTTATGAGTTATGAGTTGAACTGTGTTCCTCTTAAGAAAAGTTCCTGTGTTGAAGCCCCTCGGAATGTAACTGTATTTGGAAATAGAGTTAATTAACTGGTCCAGGGTGGGAATTCAGTCGGCCGGGGGAGGGAGTACAGGTGTTATTGGAGGAAAAGAGAACAAAGGATTTTGAGGGGGTTGGCAGGAGTGTGACTTAAGTGACAGACTTTAAGTAGGTTTTAGGCTATTGGTAAAAACTGGCAGGGTGTAGAAATTCAGATTTTATGGTCTCTAGTGCCACCTGTTGCCCAACTACTGGCATTTCCTCAGTTCCTGAGAGAAATGCCCAATTACTGAAGTCCCTCAAAACAACAGCCCCCAAGGCTGAGCTGGGGTAGAGGGCATGGTAGCAGATGGTCTACAGGAGCTGTGTGCCATTGCACTAGTATTGCTATCAACAGCAGAGAAATAGCCAGCTGAGAAGAAGTCTCCAAATATAGCATGCATGGCTTCCTGTCCTCCAGCTGTCTTAGGGCCAATGGCAAGCATGGCTGTGACGGAATGAACAAGATGTATATGAGACCAATACTCAAAGTCCACTATCTCAATCACTTTTATTCTCCCAGCCTGATGGTGGTAATGACCCAATTTTAGTTTCTCTCTTATGCATACTTACTGTTATCTATAGGAGGATACATCCAATAAATGTAAATGTATGTACTCTTCAAAAGGTTGTATCACTGCTTAATGATATCAAGAGAAAAAATATATATATAAAACCATGATTATCTCATAAATTCTGTTTTTAATAGTAATGAGAAAGCCAAATGGTTTGGGATATTAGAGTGTCTTTTTTCCTCTCCTTTGTACAATGTGCACTCATTTTAAATCTGGCTCCTGAAGTTGTTTCCTCAGATGGGGACGAAGGTGCCATGGAATCCATAGGGCATTTGCACAGGTACCTCTGCTCGGCCCAGTTCTTCAAAGTTCTTGGCATCCAAGACAAGGAGGAAGTTGCTTTCCTTCTAAAAAAGGAAACACAATACTAAAAGAAAATTTTCCTCTCTTTTAATTGAAAATGGTCTCTTCCACAGGACCGTAAAATTCTTAAAGGCAAGACTATGTCTTCATCATCTTCATCTCTATCCTCAGCCCCTAGCATACTACCTTACCTATATGCTCATGAAGTTTCCACAGTCATACACTAGACCGAAAAGGAAATTACAGCTAAGCAACTTAATATTTAAAACATGCTTACATTGTCTAAATCAGTGATCTTCATAGGATCACTAATGATCTTTATACTTGTCTCTTCCCAGTCTCCTAAGAGACATAGAAACATTACCAAATTAGAAACACTTCCATTTTGTGTTCCTTTGGAGTGGTTCAAAGGGCAGTATTGTGAGGCTAAGGTTTGTCCTGTTTTAATTACAGGAGTACCTAGTGCATCATGAGGCTTGAGTCTCCCAAGTTCATGCAGATATGGCTAACGGATCACAGCACTTGTCCCACTGAATCCTTAACAGACCTCTGGATCCCACACCAAGGCAGGTACCAGTCACTAACCAAAGTCTTCGCTCAAAGTGAATGGATCTGCCGTAGGACTGTCCTAGACAAGAGTTCACATAATGGGCAATATTATTGAGACACTAGGCCAGGTTTATGGCCTTGAACTTTGAGATCCATTGATTGAAATCTGTGCAGAGGATGATGTGAACATTAGACTAAAAGCCCAAACATGTAAAGACTGGTTTTACCACTGTGAGATATGCTGCAAGTCTCAACCTCTATAAGTTACAAAGTCCATGTATGTAAAATAGTATCCCATGAAGTAATTTTGATGACTGAGTAAGACAGCATGGTGAAAGCAGTTTGTTAATAACAAATTCTTACTCAGATATAAATTAGTATCATGGTACTACAAATAGAACTTTAAAACAATAATAAGATGTGGATTGTGATAAAGGAGTTTGTAACTAGTAAAAAGTAAAGGATGACATATCGGAATCAAGAAAACTTTCAACAGCATCATTAAATAGAACCCTCAAGAGGCTCCAGTGCTGTTTCCCTCTGACTAGTCACATCCAGGAAAATTTGATCTATTGATTTACCTGGTTGGGAGTGATCACCACAGAAAGAACCACCCCATCATCTTCTTCATTAGCTCCTGGTACTGACACAAAAACTGGTTCTGAGGGATAAAAGCCATCCTTTCTCCAAACCTGCAGAGATCCACCCCCCCCCAAAAAAAACACACGATTAAAAAAAAAGACCAGTTATGATAAAGAAATTTTCTGTAGCTTTTGTCACTTTTAGCATAAAGCTGGCTATCAATACAGTATTCAGACAGTCTTGTTGAGTTGGATAGTGGGATGGAGTTTTGTAATCCCAAATTCCATCACCGTTGAACATAATTTACAGTATAATTTACCAGCAACCTCAACCTCACAGTTTCTCCCAAAATAACACATCATCCATAGAAATTATGTTTCTGCATTTGGGATTTATTTAGATTCCCCAGAGGGAACATATTCCTAACTTAGGCAATTCCATGTGTCCCTAAAAATTACTAAAATATTACTGGGCTACTTATATATTAAAGAATCCTAGGTGTTACCTTAAAACAAACAGTACCTAATTTAAAAACCAAAAGAGGTTTTTAAAAAGTTCCAGAAAAGAAAAATAGTTTAATCACCTTCAGTGTCTTGTTCACCACATCAACCTTGATCAGAGAATCCCCCACCAAATGCCGGAAGCCACAGCCATAGAAGAACTGATACTTTTTGCCGCTGAATTTTCCATAGTTGATCTGGGGAAATTCAATGCCTCCTTCCTCCTCTAGGTCCTTGTGATGCAGATTTTCATGAGAGCACCAAATCTAACAGATTCAAAAAGGATTTACTTATTTCCTTTAGTGTTTCTGACTTTCTTCAATGTAAGTCAGTGAGGGGGGACTAACAGTAAATGAATTTGTAACAAGTCTTGGAAACTGAGGTTCTATATGAATTTTTTTTTTTAGCAATTGGTCTTTTTTCATCATGGGTATAAATGCATAGAATAGCATTACAGGAGTGAGCAACTGACTCGGAAGTTAAAATAACCACATCCCGTACCTCAATAACTGGATTCACATCCTGGATCCAGCTCCCAGGTTCACTATCTCAGCAATCGAAAATGGCTGAAGTAGTTGAATGCTGCAACCCACATGGGAGACTGGAATTGAATTACTGCCTCTTGGCTCCAGGCTCCTAGGTTTGGCCTGGCCTTTTCCTAACCATTGTGGGCATTTGTGAAGTGAAATTGTAGATTGGAGCACTGTCTTACACTCCCCATTCCCCTTAAATAATAATAAAAAATAAATTAGATTTAAGAGCAAATACAAACACCAGGTTTTATATTTGCTCATAAAATGGAGTAAGAGATGAAAATGAACTTTTTACTTGGCTAAAGCTAAGAGACTGACAGTTTCACAATATGTCTACTCAAATTACCAAGAAGGTGGGAAAGGTTCAATGCCCACTTCAAATGCTTAGCCATCCCCCAACCACTGAGAAGCTGCATTCACCAGCTTCCAAACAAAAACAAAGTGCAGAGTAAGCACAGTGCTCAATCTCATCTAGTTGCTGTGATTCTTCTTCAAGCAATATTCCCTTACTCTCACCCTGGTCAGCTAAATCCTGGGAAGCCTTCTAAGCACCAAATGTTGTTGAGAACAGCCAAGGGATGAAGTAACCCTACAGAGTTCAAAGTCTCATCTAATGTCCATTGATGGCATACCTTTCCATCGGCCTGTTTCACAGCTCTGGCTGAAGAATAGGACAATGGACTGAGGTTCTCACCTTCGGGAGCATCCACACCAATGTTTAAGGGCAAAACAAACCTTCTAGGAAAAGCTCTGGCTGTTGAATTATAGACCTATTGAGACAAAAATAAAACAGATGGAAAAAATGTCATCCACAGGATAATAGCATATCTTAACCATTTGTATCCCATCAACATTCTTGGCATTCCTTTATAACCACATAAACGATCATTTTCATCATTTTCATGTATTTCTTAAGTATTTATTGATAACATCGGGCAAGCATCAGACACTAGGAATGCAGCAGTGAATAAGTAAAGTGCCTTCTGGAAATTTTTATTCTAGGGGTAGAAGAATGAAAATAAGACCATAGAAAGAATAGAAAATGTTTATGCTATTTATAATTAGCATCAAATAAATGGCAATTTAGACAAAGATCAAAAGACTAGGGAAGTGCTCTCTGTTTAGGTTTGGTCAGAATAGACGTCTGTGTAAAAAGGATCAATTTAGCAGGCTGATGTTGTGCAAACCTTGCCCATCTTCAAGAAGGGCCTGTTTTGATGACTCACCTCTGGTTGGTTCCTGGAATGATCTGTCTGATTAGATATCGTAGACAAACAAATCCAAATATCTTATACTAACAGTGATTTATAAAGAACACTTGTGTTCTCTTGGGAGCCTGGAACTTCATTAACTGAGTTTACTATGTATCAATGACCAAGAAAAGAACAGCCCATTAAGCATAAGTGATGTAGGAAAACAAATAATAAAAATATGGCAATTGAAAAATGTAAAACAAACACACATTATAGAAAGCTAACTAAGTCCAAAAGGCTGACAGACCTTCAAAAAGTCAAATTAAATTAATAAAATTCAGCAAGTAAAAACAAAAACAGTGAGAATAAGCATATTAGGAATAAAAGTGGGGAGGAGATGACATATCAATCAACCCTACTACAGTTTTAAAAATACCATATAATGATATGGACAACTTTAGCTCAGTAAATTTTATATACTGCAGGTGATATGGGTAAATTTCTAGAAAAATACAATTTACTAAATCTGACACGGTAGGAAAGAAAACTGGAATGCTTTTATCCAGTTAAAGAAATAAAATTTATAATTTGTCTGTAAGGAAAGATACAGCTCCGGAAGGATTTATGGTTAAATTATCCCCAAAACTTTAAGAAACAGTGCTAATCGTCTGCAACCTCACCCAAAAAGAAGAAAAAGAGTGAATGATTCCTCCATTGTTTGAGATTAGCAAAATCTTGAAACTCAAATCATAGGGGGACATTACAGAAAAGAAAGTTTACAAGTCAACTTTATTAATGAACACAGATGCAAACATTCTAAACCGAACACTAGCAAAGCAAATCCACAGTGTGGATGAAATCAACTGGATTTTACTTCAGGAATGAAAGGTTAGCTCAACATTCAAAACTCAATGAAAGGGCAGGTGTTTGGCTTTCTAATGAAGACTCCAATTGAAATGCCTGGGTTTCAATGCTCAGGCCCAGCTCCTGACAACAGCTTCCTGCTAGCGCCTCCTGTTGGAGGCTTTGGTGATGGCTCAGGGAATTCATTTCTACCACATAGGAGGGTGATCTGGATTAGCATCTGGGGAGTGAGCCACCATAGGGGAACATTTCTCTCTCTTTTTCTCTCTCTTTCTCTGCCTCTCAAAAAAAAAGGGCCCGGCGCGGTGGCGCAAGTGGTTAAAGGTCCTCGCCTTGCACGCCCGGGATCCCATATGGGCGCCGGTTCTAATCCCGGCAGCCCCGCTTCCCTTCCAGCTCCCTGCCTGTGGCCTGGGAAAGCAGTTGAGGACAGCCCAAAGCTTTGGGAACCTGCACCCGCGTGGGAGACCCAGAAGAGGCTCCTGGCTTCGGATCGGCATAGTATCGGCCCGTTGCGCTCGCTTGGGGAGTGAATCATCGGACGGAAGATCTTCCTCTCTGTCTCTCCTCTCTGTATATCCGCCTTTCCAATAAAAAAATAATAAAAATAAATCTTTAAAAAAAAAAAAAAAGCACTTTTGCACATTATAAGTACTTTTAAAGAAATTAAAGAAAAATGTTGGGGGAACAAAAGAAAAGTAAAACTTGTTATTTTCAGATAACATGACTGTGTACACAGGGCCAACTAACTAAACTAATAAGTAAGTTTAGCAAGGTCTCTGGATAATAGACAATATTCAAAATAGGCTGCATTTGAGAGCAACAAAGAGAAAATTAAAGTTTAAATGATATAGTTTACAGCAGTTTCAAAACATGCAAAATGCCTAGGGATAAATTTTTGTCCAATTTATCTATTTGAGAGGCAGAGAAAGAAACACAGAGAAAGAGAGCTCCCATCCACTGGTTCACTCCCTAAGTGCTCACAGTGCCAAAGAGGACAAAGGCAGTCCAGAAACTTGGTCTAGGTCTCCCATGGGAGTGGCAGGAACCCAACCACTTCGACCATCAGCTTCTGTCTCCCAGGATCTGCATGGTCAGGAAGCTGGAAATGGAAGCTGGTGCCATTCATCAAAGCCAAGTACTCCAATACGGGACACATGCATCTTCATGGCTAGGCTAAACACCTACTCCACTAGGAATACATGCAGGTATGTAACATCCTTATACTGAAACTACAACATTACGAAGACATTAAAACACAAAGCATGGAGGACGTTCCCATGTCCACCAGTTGGAAGACTAAATATTGTAAAGGTATCAGTCATCTCCAGGTTGATCTATAGTTGCAACATGATCACATTCAGGTTTTTTTCTTCTTTGCAAAATTTGGTAAGGTGATTTTAAAATTTATGAAAATACAAAAAGCCAAGAAAAATCCAGGCAGTTTTTAAATAGAAACAAAGCTAAATGAGTCACACCACAGACATCAAAACCTATAAAACTATAATAAGTGAACTTATTAAGTAAATTTAGTATTATTTTTAAAATATTTAAAAATACAAATATACCTAAAAACAAGACTGAGCCTGGAAACAATTTATGTTACATAATTCAAGGAAAAATTTTACCCCTTATTTGGTATCAGGGAAAAATTAATCCCTCAATAAGATAAACTAAGAAAAAAAAACTTGCTATCCCTTTCAGGAAACTTAAGTACATATTTGTAGCACATTAACATAATAAGGAACTAATCTCAGTGCTTCAAAACTTGCACTGTACTGTCTCTGCCATGCTTTTTACTTACTAGACATTAAGCTATTTAAGATACTGTTTAATACTGAATAAATGGCAAGGCTATGTTTCCAATGTTTTAAAACCAGTCTCTTTCCTTTGTCACAAGAGAAGCAAGAAGAAACAGCAAATTGCAAAGCCAATGCCAGAACCTGTCTAGTTCAAAACCATTTTAATAACGCCTGAAAAGTCCGAGATGTTTACCTGGTCAAGGCCTTCTCCAGCCTTCCTGAGATTCTGCAGTCGGTAAACATCTAGGCTCCTTCCATCATCTTGACAGCACATATCAATCACAACACAGCCCTGGTCCTCAAAGGCGTTGATTTGATGAAACGTGACAAAAGGCTGACTGTAGTACCTCCCTGGGAGAAGCTGGGCAGAAGGGTTGTGGGGATACAAACCATGAGAAACAGTTACCCTTGCCTCCCTCCTCTCCCGTCCCCTTCCCTGACTCTCCCTTTCCTTCTGTTTTGTTTCTGTTCCTTGTCAAGAATTTCCTCTCCTTACATGGCACACTTAGTAACGTAGAATGAAGGAATAAATATGCTTTTACTTAAGTATCTTTCAAGTTTACTTAAGTCATCTCAACTCATATTCATTCATGAAGTGGACCTATTTGATAAAGACCAATCGTTACAACTAATTTAAAAGTCCTTATGAAATAATACACAATGTTTTAAAGGATCAATATCCTCAGCTCCAGCCCCATGATTAAATAAAAATATTATTGTTTAGTTGCCTTATGATAAAAGGAATGACCAATTCTTTGAAAAATGCTCTCATTACTTTTTCTGTATAATGAAGCCTACATAAAATAAATTTAAGACACCATGTCTTCTTTTTTTTAAAAGATTTATTATTTTTTATTTGAAAAGCAGAGCTACAAAAAGGAGCAACAGAGAGAGAGAGAGAATCTTCCATCTGCTGGTTCACTCCATCAGACATAAAGATAGTCTTTAGAGAGGCAAAAAAAAAAAAAGACAAATATCATAGCCCTAAAACTAATGAGCTCTACGAAATACTCGGATAGCCTCTGCCTTGGTGAGATTTTCATACTCACTTATCAAAAAGTTATAGAAGGGGCCCGGCATGATAGCCTAGCAGCTAAAGTCCCCACCTTGAATGCACTGGGATCCCATATGGGTGCCAGTTCTAACCCTGGCCACCCCCACTTCCCATGCAGCTCCCTGCTTGTGGCCTAGGAATGCAGTCAAGGATGGCCCAAAGCCTTAGTACCCTGCACCCGCATGGGAGACCTGGAAGAGGTTCCAGGCTCCTGGCTTCAGATTGGCTCAGCTCCTGCCATTGCGGCTGTTTGGGGAGTGAAACATTGGACAGAAGATCTTCCTCTCTGTATATCTGACTTTGCAATAAAAATAAATAAAATCTGTTTGAAAAAAGTTAATAGAAGCAACTAGATAAAGTATCATTGTCAAAGTTACAAAAGATCTTTGCATGAACAACTTCTTTCTCAGTTATTATCAGTTGGAAAAACATATGCTCAGAGGTTTCTAGATGTCATTTTAATTGAATCATACAATTAAAAAAACAAAATCATTTCCTAAGAAAATCAAAATAACCAGCCCAACCTATAGAAAACCATAATATCTTATCCTGGTACCAGTGCTATGGCATAGCTAGGAAAGCTGCCACTGGTATCCCTTACGAGCCCCTGTTCAAATCCTGGCTGTTTCACTTCTGACTCAGCTTTAATGTGCCTGGGAAAGCAGAGGAAGATGACCCAAATACTTGGGCCCCTGCACTCATGTGAGAGACCTAGAGAAAGCTCATGGTTCCTGGCCCCGGCAGGCAACGAACTAGAGGATGGAAAATTTCTCTCTCTCTCCCTCTTTCTCTCTATAATTTTGACTTTGAAATAAATAATTTTTTAAAAAAGAGTGCCTTATCTTATGTAAGCACTGTCTACTGAAGGCGTAAAATGAACCACATGGAAATTTGCCTTTGTGTCCAACCACTTTCATGAGAATTATCTCAAAATATGCCACCTGTCCAGTGCTTTTATCCACCACATGAAACCGTGTATTATACTGGGGTTCCCAGCTTATTCCATCTGAAATGGCCTTTCCCCGAATTTTAGCAGTGACAATTTTCCACAGATTCATCTTCAGAGGTTGTTCGATGAAGATTATGTAGTTACTTGTCATTCCTAAAAGGTTCCATAAGACAATAAAATGTTATTTGGCAAGCTAGAGTCGTCTGAAATGTGATAGTTATGGCAAGCTGTCTAATTCCTAGAAACGGGGAACTTCAAAATGTTCATGGGAAAATGCAATGAAAAAACAAAGCAAACATTTTTAAAATGCATGTCAACAGGGGTTTTTTAAGAAAGTTTGTGCAAAATGTGTATTAATAGGGGGAAATATGCATGAATTTCAAAATTTTGTGCACCAAAATAAACTCATCTTTTAACTTCATTTTTCCCATACACAGTTTGAAGTACCCTCATATTATTGCTGATCTAAGCAAACATCAACAAAGACTTCTTCATTATTTCCCAGCTTTGCCTTACAATTTTCCTGTTCAGACATATAAAAAGAGAACTGCCTTGGGTAGCTTCAGTTGAATGTCCTCAGTTTTCTTTTTATCTTTTTTTAAATATTGTCTTTCTAAATTGTTTTGCTTTAGGAACAAAGTAATGAAATTAACGTTGAAGTGTCATCTATGGGAGAGTGTTTTGGCATAGCAGTTTAAATCTCTCCTACCCTCTCTCAGTAACTCTGCTTTCTAAATAAAATAAACCTTTTAAAAACCCCAAATGATTTATTTTAAATAATCATTTGTGATCTGTAAGTTAATATTTTTGTTATTTGCATTGAAAGTAAACACCCAGGAACAATCTGACCATAACAGTTTAGAATAAAGAAAATAAACCATTTGATTAGAGATAATAAAGTCTGAAGCTACATGTTTTAAATATGAATTCCAACAAATATATATAAAGTCTAGATCTTTGTATGTGCAATTATTGGTGAGAATTAATACTGCTTAAAATTTTCAATTCTGTCAACTAATTTTTTAGTAGTTATTTGTACTAGAGCAACTATATTTTTTCAAGCAGCACACAAAGATACACAACTAAACAGAATCAACTTAACTGGCCCTAAAATGCAGCACTGGCCTTGCTTTTATCATAGTCTCACAAGTGAACACAGCACTTGCCAAAATTAGTCCCTGAATGACAGCAGTGTTAAGGCAGGGCTATTGCAATGTACCTTATCTCTGGACTCACCAAAGCTATGGTAATAAGAAGGCTTCATTGCCTCCGTGGAAGCAATAGAACATATCACTTTAGCTCCATGGATCGTCTCCCCAAGGTCAACCTTCGCTGGAGGAACCCGAATAACATTATAGCAGGAACCTGGAAAATGGAGAGTCCTGCCTTAACTCTTTCACATGCATTCTAGAATAAAAAAGATAACCCTTGTTCTTGGTGATGAGGCAAAAGCAGTAAGGGATTTATGAAGTATTTACGACGCTCATCTTTCATGACACTCATCATGAAGATTTGGATGCTAAAAAATTCTAATTTTGTGAAAGTCATTAGCTAAGGTTTTGAAAACAACACAAAGTAATCAACCAATGCATCACTATATTTTAATGATCTCAAACGGTGACTCTATTACTCTCTGCAGACGAGCTCCATCCATATTTTACAGGGAAAGATAATATAGCGCCCATGATAATCTTTAAATTGTATTTGCTCTCCCCCTGCCAATCCCCTATTCCAACTATAATTCCTACATGTACAACTCCTATATACAACTCATCTCTACCATCCTCTGGAATCCTGGAGACATTCTACTCATTAATTCATAATGCCATGATTCATTCAGCTGTTCATTCAAGAGTCAATTTAGATACCTACTCCTCATGCAGCTTTTCCTGGATGGAAAGTGGAGCAGCCGAGAAAAGAACTGGTGCCATATGGGATCCCAGCTCATGCAAGTCGAAGACTTTAGCCACTAGTCTACCATGCGGGGCCCAAAAAATAAGCTTTGTATAATACAAAAGAGAGTGCATAAGTTGCATAGTTTCAAGAATGCCATATTACTATCTCTGATTAATATGGAAATTATATTTTAAAGCTTGAAAAACTAACCAGACTAATTAATGTTTAAACTATCCTCTTATTTTTTAAAAGGTTTTAAAAAATATTTTTATTTTTCATGATGCATTTTTATAAATATAGGGATTCCCTTCTTTCCTCCCTTACCTCCCTCCCTTTGTTCCACTCTCATATTATTACAGTTGTATAGTTTTTTTTTTTTTTTTTTTTTTTTTTTTTTTTATTTTCTCATTGGAAAGGCAGATATACAGAGAGGAGAGACAGAGAGGAAGATCTTCCATCCGATGATTCACTCCCCAAGTGAGCGCAACGGGCCGATACTATGCCGATCCGAAGCCAGGAGCCTCTTCCGGGTCTCCCACGCAGGTGCAGGGTCCCAAAGCCTTGGGCCGTCCTCGACTGCTTTCCCGGGCCACAGGCAGGGAGCTGGAAGGGAAGCGGGGCTGCCGGGATTAGAACCGGCGCCCATATGGGATCCCGGGCGTGCTAGGCGAGGACCTTAACCACTTGCGCCACCGCGCCGGGCCCAGTTGTATAGTTTTTTAACAACAGTTATAAGATTAACATTCTGCTGCTTGAAGTTGTAATAGCATTGTAGCTACAGGTAATGGTAGGAAATCAAGTATCATATTGACAAAGTATATTTAACTGTTTCACTGGGAGTCCTGTTATTCCACAGTACAGGTGTCTCCTACAATGAATGTATCCTCAATTTTCAATACGCTAATCTCCATTATACATAGAATGTGTGTATATTGTTCACCTATATATATCGCCCTGTTTTGTATTTTGCACGAATGTTGTCTTATACTTAAGTTGCCTTTGGAATATTGCCTTATTTCAAAAAAATTTTTTGGAAAAATAAAAACCATGAAAATATTTTTATTTCCTAAAGTTAGGAATTACTAGGGAGCATTTTGTTTTGTTGCGAGAATCACTGGATTCCCCACAAACATACGCTAAGCAGTCAAACTCCCTGCAGCTGCAGGTACAGTCCCAGTTCAGAATCTTCTCACTGAACCAAATCATGAGGGGAGGAAAATGAAGTAGAATCATGTTGGTTGGGATTAGGAAAAGATAAAAAGAAGAATATCCTGCCTCAGTAGTTGAAATAAGGAAAAATTATTCAATTCACTGAACATATTAATCACCTGCTTCAGTTACCAATTGCAAGGGCATTAGGCAAAGACAAACAAAAACACAGGAATGCCCCCAAACACTGTTCTGCCCTCTACTATGGCACTCCTTAACACTGGAATGCTCTAAGAGCTTATAGAAGAAGCAAACAGAGGTTATCTCTCATGATTGGTGGCTGGGTTTTCTCAGTGAAATCCAAGACCATGGGTACAAAGACTACCAGGTATTACGTGAAAATAAGGATTTTTCCGTCCTTTTTCTTTTCATTTTCTTTATTTTCTTTTATTCCCTTTTCTTCTTCTTCCTAATCCATCTCTCATAGGATTGCTCTGTTTTGTTTAGAATTTATTTGATTTTTATTTGAAAGGAAGAGTTACAGACAGAGGGGAGAGAGGGGGGTATCTTCCATTTTCTGGTTCACTTCCTAAATGGCTAAAATGGTCAGAAATAAGCCAGAGTTGATGCCAGGACTCAAAAGCCTCCTCCTCCTTCCACCTGCACCACATGGGTGCAAGGACTTGGACCATCCTCCCCTGCTTTTCCAAGCAAGGAGCTAGATCAAAAGTGGAGCAGTCAAGACACAAACTGGCACCCCTATGGGACACCAGTACCAGTGTCCAGCTTAGACAACTATATCATGGCACCAGTCTCAAGTAACCATCCATCGAAAAGATGGACAAAACACCCATTGCATCAGTGTATCCATCCACTGAAATATTTTATACAGAAGGATGCTTGCTATTTCCAATGTCAGTTTTAAGAATTCATCCCTTAGGCTTGCACCTTGGCATAGCTGGGTAAAGCTGTCACCTGCAGCACTGGCATCCCATATGAGTCCCTGTTCAAGTTCTAACTTCTGACGCAAGTCCCTGTTAATGCTCCCAAAAAAAGTAGTGGAGGATTGCCCAACTGCTTGGGCCCCTCCGCTCATATGGGAGAACTAGATGAAGCTCCTGTCTTCGGGCTTCGCAATGGCTCAGTTCCAGTCATTGTGACCATTTGGGGACAGAATCAATAGAAGGAAGATTTCTCACTGTCTCTTTAGACTTGATCTTAGCCAAAAGGTCAAGAAGTGATTCACTGTCTCTCTAGAATTCTACTTTTCAAGTAAATAAAATAAACCTCTTATGAAAAAAAAGAATCCAACCCCACCTGAGATCAGGTGATAAAGAAGAGAAAGGGCTGAGTGATGGAGCAAGGCATTCTGCCTCTATTTGAAGTAGTAAAAAACAAAACTGCAATGTTTGTGCTGGTATACATGTATATATGGAGACACAGAAATGCATAGAGGAGAAAGTTACAAAGGTAATTACTTGGTATCTTAAGTCCAAAAGATCCCTGGACTGAGGACAGATGAGTTTCACACACATTCACTTGCCTTCAAAGGTTGTATGGAGTTCCAGTTCAAGGGCCCAGCACAACAGCCTAGTTAATAGGGTCCTTGTCTTACAAGCACTGAGGTCCTGTGCAGGCACCAATTCATGTCCTAGCTGTTGCACTTCCCTTCCAGCTTCCTGCTCGTGGCCTGGGAGAGCAGTGGATGGCCAGGGACCTCGGGGCCCTGCATCAGCATGGAGGGCCCACGGGAGGGTCCTGGCTCCTGCCTTAACTAGGATCAGCTCAGCTCTGTCCATTGCAGCCACTTGGGGAGTGAGCCAGAGAGTGGAGGATCTTTGTCTCTCCTTCTCTGCAGATCTGACTTTCCAATAAAAATAAATAGATCTTAAAAAAAAAAAAAAGTCTTCCGGTTCAAGTCCCTGGTTCCTCCATTTCCAATCCTACTAATGGGAAAGCAGTGGAAGATGATCCAAGCCCTGGGCTCCTGCCACCCATGTAGGAGAGCTGAATGAAGCTCCTGGCTTTGGCCTGGCTTAGCCCCCAGCTTCTGTGGCCAACTAGGGAGAGCCAGCAGATGGAAAAGCTCCATTTCTCCATCTCTCCCCTTTCCTCTGTAACTCTGCCTTTCTAATAAATAAATAAAATCTTTAAAAAAAAAAAGAACTCATCAAAAGCTTACCATTACCAAATACAAAGAAATACAAAGGCTTCATAAGTAATGGTGATAGGTTGATTAATAGCTAAGATACATCAGAAATATGTAACACCTAAACATTTGTTTGCAAATGAACAGAGATACAGTTCTGAGATACAAGAACTGGAAACATGATTTCACATGCCCTAAGAGAGAGAGTAGATTGGTGAAAATTAACAAATGGAGGAAAAAATAGTGATCAGCAACAGACTAACAGGTAAAAACACCAATATAGGAGTAGGTGCGACATATAGCAAGCTAATCCTCCACCTGCTAGCACCAGCATCCCATATTATTGTCAGCTCATCCTGGCTGCCCCACTTCTGATCCAGATCCCTGCCTGTGGCATGAGAGAGCAGCAGATGATAGCTTAAGTTCTTGAGTCCCTGCACCCCTGTGGGAGACCAGAAGGAGAATCCTAGTTCCTGACTTTGGATCACCTCAGCTCTGGCCATTTCAGCCATTCAGTGAGTAAACCAACAAATAGAATTTCTCTTTCAAACAAACATAAATACCAATACAGAGGTGTGTATTTGATCTAGCAGTTAAGACATGAGTTACACCACCTGAATTAAACTGGAGTTCCTGGATTTCAATTTCAATTCTACTTGCCGATTCTAGCTTCCTACCCATACGGACCCGGGAAGGGGAGGCAGTGGTGCTAGCTCAAGTGATTCGGTCCCTGCCAGCCAGTGAGACCTGGATTGATTTCCTCACTCCCAGATTCAGACTTCCAGAAGGATGGGCACACGAGGAACAAACCAACAGAGGAAAAGGGCTCTGACTGACTGCAGGTATGTCTCGCAAATAACTATTTTAAAAAGTAGAAAAGATATTGGATATTTGGAAGTAAATTCTCAAGATAAATGAGTCTTAGGCTGCAGATAATCTAAAAAGCATATAATCAAAACAGTGTTCTCCACTCAGTGATTAATAATTAATGAGGTAATCTGAAGTGACTAATAGCAAGCTTTGAGGTGTGGGTCAGGTTTGGTGTTCAGTCTGTTATCAAACACAAACACTTACCTACCCAAGCAACTATACCTCTTCACGCTTTACTGCCCTCATTTGTAAAGCAAATAATTGTACCTTTCTCAGCAAATTGGCGTAAGAACTAAATGAAAAATCATGGAGAAAAATGGCTTAATATCAGCAGGTAGTAGGTATCAAGCAAATGTTAGCTATCAATATTAACTTTCAGACCTTTTTGCAGCAAGTTGTAGGCAAGTGTGGAAGCATGCATATGACCAGGAACGAGATGTGATGTAAGTGGTTGTGAACGCAACCTCATTATGACCTTGCTTTGTAATACATTACTTCCATGAAAAAACTAAGTTCCTTTCTGTGATATACAACATACCTTTGCTAAAACATATACATTTCTTATCCTATGATATAGTGCCTCCTAAAAAATTAAAGGTTTAGGGACCAGTGCTGTGGCATAGCACATAAAGCAGTCTCCTGTAATATCAGCATTCCTTGTGGGTGTCAGTTTCAATCCTGGCCAAACAACTTCCAATCCAGCAACCTGCTAATACCCCTGGGAAAGCAGTATAAGATGGCCCAAGTGCTTGGGCACCTGCACCCATGTGGGAAACACAGAGGTGTTCCTGGATCTCAGCTTTGGTCTGGCACAGCCCTGGCCATTGCACCCATTTGGAGAGTAAACCTGAAGATGAAAGATCTCTCACCCTCTCACTCTCTCTCATCCTCTCTATGTGTAATTCTGCCTTTTAAACAACCCTTTTTAAAAATTGAAATTTGGGCCTGGCACAACAGCCTAGTGGCTAAACCCTCAACTTGCACCCACCAGGATTCCATATGGATGCCAGTTTGTACACCGGCTACTCTACTTCCGGTCCAGACCCCTGTTTGTGGCTGGGAAAGCAGTAGAAGATGATTTAAAGCTTTGGGACATTGCACTTGTGTGGGAGATCCAAGAAGAGACTCCCGGCTCCTGACTTTGGGTCAGCTCAGTTCCAGCCATTGTGGCCACTTGGGGAGTGAAACAGCAGATGGAAGATCTTTCTCTCTGGCACTCTTCTCTGTATATCTGCCTTTCCAATAAAAATAAATGAATAAAAATCAAAATTTTAAAAATACATACTAAAAATTCCTTTTTGTTAGGTAAAAGCAAAACAACATAAAAATATGAGTTATGCTGAAAATGAAAAATCCGAGTTATGCTCTTACCCAAGGCTCCAAAAGAACCACACAACAGATACACATTGATAAACCACATCCTTTAAGATCAACAATGATAATTTAGAGATTTCCTTCTGAATCTTTTCAAATGCAATTTCCTAGCTTTACATCTTAACCATAACAGCACTTGGGGAGGGTAGCTAACTCCCAAGTAATACTTTTTTAAGATGTATTATTTTGATTTGAAAGATTTACAAAGAGAAGGAAATACAGAAAGATCTTCCATCCACAGGTTTACTCCTCAAGTGGCTGAAATAACTGAAGCTGAGCCAATCTGAGGCCAGGAGCTTCTTCCAGGTCTCCCACGTGGGTGCAGGTTCCCAAGGTTTTGAGCCATCCTCTACTGCTTTCCCAGACCACAAGCAGGCAGCTGGATGGGAAGTGGGGAAACCAAGACACAAACTGGCACCTATATGGGATCCTGGCATGTGCAACGTGAGAATTTAGCCACTGAGCAATCATGCTGAGCCCAACTCCCAATTATTTCTAACAAGTATTCCATCCCAACTTTATACCTTGTGGCCCATAAGAATTTCCCATATTGTAGGCTGTTCCATCTGAGTCATAATGAGGATGTGCAGTTGCTCCATTCACAGCAATAAATTTGCTCCAATCTACCTGCAAATAAAAGAACATCAGAGATTTTAAAATATTACATGAGCTGATCTCTGTTTGCATGAATAGACACTAGGGATGTATCAAATATTGTTATAAGATGGATTGATTGATTGGTTTAAAGGTAGAGTTACAGAAAGAGCAGCATTTTCCACATGTTGGTTCACTCCTCAAATTGATGCAATAGCCAAGGCTATGCCAGGCCAAAGCCAGGAGCCCAAAACTCTTTCCAGGCCTCTTTTATGGATTGCAGGGGCTCATTCACTTGAGCCATCTTCCACTGCCTACCCAGGTGTATTAACAGGGAACTGAATCACAAGTAGAGCAGCCAGACTCCAACCAGCACTCCTATGGGATGCTGGCTTTGCAGACCACTATTTAATCCAACGTACCAGAACACTCTCCCCAGATATTTGTAAGCGAAGGTATGAAAACCACAGTTTAAGTTCTAATTTCTAGCTTCTGAGAAATCTAAATTATTTTTTTCACTACAGAAAGAGAAAGCAGGGAAAACTTATTATCCCATAAGGGCACCAGTTCGTGTTCTGGCTTCTCCACTTTTGATTTAGCTCCCTGCTACTGTGCCTTGGAAAGCAGCATAAGATGGCCCAAGTCCTTCAGACCCTGTACTCACATGAGAAACCCAGATAAACACCTGTGGCTTCCAGCTTTGGATCAGCTTGGCTCTGGCGGTTGCAGCCATTTAGGGATTGAATCAGTGGATGGAGCTTCTTCTGAATCTCCTATGTGGGTACAGGGACCCAAGCACTTAGGAGAACTTGCACTGCTTTCCCAGGTGCAACAGGGAGCTGGACTGAAAGTTGTGTGACCAGGACTCTGTCTCTCCTTCTCTATGTAAAAAGAGAGAAAGATTCCAACTTTAAAAATTAAATAAATTTCAAATAAAATAATTTAAAGAAAAAAAATCAAAAAAGAAACTGAGATCCAAAAACAGAAAATAAAGACCCACCTATGCCAACAACAAAAAAATCCTGAATAGGGCCTGGCACACTAGCTTAGTAGCTAGAGTCCTCAGCCTGAACACGCCAGGATCCCATATGGGCACGGCTTCTAATCCCAATGGCCCCCTCATCCCATTTAGCTCCCTGCTTGTGACCTGGAAAATCAGTCAAGGACAGCCCAAAGCCTTGGGACCCTGCACCCACGTGGGAAACTCAGAAGAGGCTCTAGGCTCTTCGTAATGGTGCAGCTCTGGCTGTTGCAGCCACTTTGGGAGTGAATCAGCAGATGTAAGATCTTCTCTGTCTCTCCTCTCTGCATACCTTACTTTCCAGAATAAATAAATAAATCTTTAAAACAAAGAATCCTAAATAGATTTACCTAAGACCATGTAAAAGTTCAAAAGGAATACAGGAATTAAAATTAAAATTCTGGGATAATTTTTCATTAATATATTGAGTGGAGGAGATGTAGATATAAACAGTTCCACAGCCAATACAAACCATGTTTAGCAACAGCAAGATGAGTAGGTTGATTTTTTTTTAATCTCTCCTTTATCCTAGCCTTAGATAACAGAAGGAAGGAAGAAGCTGAGCGTTATCTTTAAGGTACAGCAACCCCCAGACCCTAAAGGGGGAAAGTAATCTAAGCCAATGGGAAAATTTGTTTTTGTGTGATCAGAGCTCCACTTTCTTCTTCAGGTATCTATTATCGTCAATGCAAAAAAAATTTAAGGACACAATGATGCATGTTTTAAAGTCTACATTACCTTTTCTGTTCTCTCCAGAGTTTCAATGTCCACTTTATTCATAAAGTTGGTCTCAGTACTAACGTAGTAATCACCCTTATACTGCACATAGTTGACATTGGTGTTGTCAGTTGTGACTGAAAACAAACCCCAGAGTAACTTAAGCACCACAGCTCAGAGAGAGAAAACAGTTTCAACATCCTCTCAGATAAAAATAAAATCTATTTATAGATTTATATTTGTAAATATCATCAAATATCATAATCATTATTGTTACTGGCAAATTCTGGGACTGTTAAAGGATGCCTACCTGGCAGCTCAAACTTCGACATGAAACGCTCAAAAACATTCTTGCACGGATCAGGCAGAGCCAACGTGCCAAATTCTGAGACCATAATTCGATTTTGAGCACTGTTGGCCCTATAGGCATCACTCTGTAGAAACTTGCTCCTATATGTCACTGTACCCTTCTCCATCCTGAACTGGTGAAGCAAAGCCATTCCATCAAACCAGTGGTTATACCTAAACATGTGAGAAAAAAGAAAGAAAACAAATATAGGTAAGAAGAGTGTGTGTGTGTGTGTGTGTGTGTTTTATTTGTTTATTTTTATTGGAAAGGTAAATTTACAAAGAGGAGAGCCAAAAAGAAAGGATATCCATCTGCCAGTTCATCCCCAAGGCCAGAGCTGTGCCAGACCAAAACCAGGAGCCAGGTGTTTTTTCCAGGTCTCCCATGTGGGTGCAGCATCCCAAGGCTTTGGACCATCCTCCACTGCTTTCCCAGGCCACAGGCAGGGAGCTAGACGGGAAGTGGAGCAACTGGGACACGAACCAGTGCCCATGTGTAAGCCTGGCACATGCAAGGTGAGGATTTAGCTACTGGGCTATTGCACCGGGCCCCTAATAGTTGAAGTTTTGAAGAAATGTTTCTGTGAAATAATCTGAATCTTTTCCTTTTTAAAATGTACGAAGTATTTCCTAAGTTTTTCTATTCATATTTTTGCACAGAAATTGCTCTTCTTAAATTCTCTATCAATTTTAGTAACCTATTTTTGCCCAGAAAATTATCCATTTCATCAAGGTTTTGCAAGTGTGTTTACACAGAGGCCTGCAATGTCTCCAGTAAACGTTTTGTTTCTGTTCCAATAATTACTTCCCCATTGAGATTCCCTCGTTTTACACGTGTGCTTTCTCCCTTTTTCATCTTGAGCATGCTATCCAGGGATTTGTCTTTCTGGCATTTTTTTTCAAAAACCCTTAAGAAGAAGACAGTTTCAATAATTCTTGCTTTTTGGGACTAAATCCCTTTAAAGTGACACGACTTAGAACCAGACACAGTACTGTGGTGTAAAGCCACAAACTCGGCTTTCCCGATGAGGATGTTCTTGTTCTGCATTTGGAGGCCTGATTTTACTACCCTGCACAAGTGACTCCTGCTGAGACACTGATTTGTCAGCTGAAAGCCCTGAGTAAGTGATAACACACTTTCTGGTACAATCCCAGCTCTTTCATCATCGGGTTCACGCAACTGATTTCCTTGACATATGTTTACCTTTATAAATATCAGTTTGTTAGCCTCTGTCTCATAAGAATCAGTGATTTCATGCATTCAAGGATTCAAACCAATATTTCCCTACTATCTGCCACTGACTGTGCCAAAGCCAGTGCCTAACAGACACATACAACCAAGGTACAGAGTGATCACCACCTCAACAGAGAAATGTTAGAAATGACATTTGCAGGCCCAGTGCACTAGCCTAGCGGCAAAAGTTCTCACCTTGCACATGCCAGGATCCCAAATGGGCACTGGTTCTAATCCCAGCAGTCCCACTTCTCATCTAGCTCCCTGTTTGTGGCCTGGGAAAACAGAGGAGAGTGGCCCAAAGCCTTGGGACCCTGCACTGGCATAGGAGACCTGGAAGAGCCTCCAGGCTCTTGGCTTCGGATCATCACAGCTCCAGCCTTTGCGTCTGCTTTTGGAGTGAATTAGCAGATGGAATATCTTCTTCTCTGTCTCTCCTCCTCTCTGTATAGCTGACTTTGCAATAAAAATAAATAAATCATTAAAGGAAAAAGAAAGAAACGTCATTTGCACAAAGAAAGAGCAGCAGGATGGAAGGATGGAGAAGCAGGAAGACAGGGGCTAGATGTGGTTCTTGAAAAATGTGCATTAGTGGAGGAAATTAAGGGTAGAAGTAAAAGAAGGAGGAAGGGCTATGAGGGCATGTGCATGGGGGAAGAATAGCCACTTAACTAGTCAGCATTGGGTGCAGTTGACAGCATCAAGTAATGAGAAAGGAGAAACAGGTCAGCAGCAAACCTACCAGCACTTAGACTTAAGCTTGAAGACCTTTAACAGGCAAGATTGGGGTTTTGCCAACAGGAGAGTGAACTGCTACATCTGCATCTTAGGAAAGTCACTCTAGGGGATGGTTGCTTGGCACAGTAATCTAAGCCTCTGCCTGTTCCACCAGCATCCCTTGTGGGCACCAGTTCGAATCCCACAACACCACTTTTGATCCAGCTCCCTGCTTTTTACAGCCTGGGAAAGCAGTGGAAATGGTCAGAGTCCTTGGGTTTCCACACCTAACTGGGAGTCCTGAAGAAGCTCCTAGCTGCTGGCTTTGTATCAGCTCAATTCCAGCCCCTATGGCCATTTGGGGAGTGAACCAGTGACTGCAAGATATCTCTCTCTCTCTCTCTTTCTCTTTTTCTTTCTCCCTCCCTCCATCCATCTTTCTTTCCTTCCCTTCCTCCTTCCCTCCATTCCTGGCCTTATGTTCCTTCAAATAAATCTTTAAAAATAAAAATATTTATGTATAAGCTTTCACATGAGATCATATCTCACAGATGAGACCACAACTGTGGAAACATGATCATCTCTGCCATCCACTGAGCACTAGTATATACCAGGTACTATGCTAAGTCGTTTACCACACACACACACACACACTCATTCATTCCAGGTTTCCACCTCTATTCCCTCTTACAGTTATGAGAATCAAGGTTCAGAGCAACTTCCCCATGGTTACAGGGCTGGTGAGTGGGAGAAAAAGGGTTTATGTTTGATGTTGAAGAAACACTGACTGCTAAACATGCCCTGCAAATACCAAGTACTCAGCGAGGGCTGGAAATCAGAATATTGCAACTGAGCCAGCCACCACATCTTTGATTTACTTCAGACATGATCAACAGGCCAGGGTCACAACAGAGAAAACCAAGAATGAATGGACTCAACTGGACCTGGAAACAGAGGAGAGGGATCTACTACCGGGGCAAAGGAGGCAAGGGCAGTGGTGGGAGTGTATTGTCGGTGGGGAAATTAAGAGTGGGGTTAAACTAAGAGGATAGCAAATAGTGAAAAACCAAACTTGATGAATGGGACAATTGGCTAATGCCAGTGCCGGAATATGAAGATTAAAGAGTTTTTGCACACAGTTTCAAAGAGTTCAAGATTTCATGGGTACAGCAAGTGTGCAGAACAGGGTCGTTGGCCTTGTTGCATTAGCATAAAGTGGGCAATGGTTGCGGTGGGGAGGGTTCAGGAGCTGGGAGGCCAGACTATCAGAATCATGGCTGGACGTGCCCTACGAGAGTGGGAGATATGAAGAGGCTGAGGATCGAGTTTCTGATTATAGAGTAAACTGAAAATGTGTCACTGCAAAAATTAAAAGAAAAATAAGGAAGGAAGAGAGGAGATGTGATAAGTATCACTATGTTCTTAAAACTATATGCATGTAATATATGAAACACGTTCCCTTCCTATAAATAAAATTTTGAGAAATTGTAAAAAAAAAGGTGTCCTCAGTTCATCATTGTTTACGCAATCTAATTGTAGAAAGACCTATTGTGTGTCATTATTACGTCTGAATTGACATGGATCCTTTAAGAGTGAACAGACTTGGGCTCGGCACGGTGGCACAGTGGTTAAGGTCCTCGCCTTGCATGTGCCGAGATCCAATATGGGCGCCGGTTCTATCCCGGCAGCCCCGCTTCCCTTCCAGCTCCCTGCCTGTGGCCTGGGAAAGCAGTCGAGGACGGCCCAAAGCTTTGGGACCCTGCACCCACGTGGGAGACCTGGAAGAGGCTCCTGGCTTCGGATCGGCATAGTATCGGCCCGTTGCGGCTCACTTGGGGAGTGAATCATCGAACGGAAGATCTTCCTCTCTGTCTCTCCTCTCTGTATATCTGCCTTTCCAATAAAAAAAATAATAAAAATAAATCTTAAAAAAAAAAAGAGTGAACAGACTTTCACAACTGAGTGGGGTATTCTCACAGAGTGAGTTACCACAAGCTTCATTCAGTCCTGACCCTCTGTTTTAATCTATTCTAGAAAGCCAACCACCAAACTAAAACTCTGCTTCTCTCCTCTTTAGATGGAAGTTATTAGTAACCTCTTACTTGAGGTACATTTTGTTTTTTAAAATTTATTTTAGGGCCTGGTGCAATAGCCTAGTGCATGCACCAGGATCCTTTGTGGACACCGATTCGTAACCCAGCTGCTCCACTTCCCATCCAGCTCCCTGCTTGTGGCCTGGGAAAGCAACTGAGGACGGCCCAAACCCTTGAGACCCTGCACGCATGTGGGAGACCTGGAAGAAGCTCCCAGCTCCTAGCTTCAGATCAGCTCAGCTCTGACTGTTATGGTCACTTGGAGAGGAAACCAGTGGCTGGAAGACCTTTGTCTCTCCTTTCCTCTGTAAATCTGTCTTTCCAATAAAAATACATAAATCTTTTTTAGAAAGATTTATTTAGTTGAAAGAGTGACAAGAGACAGGTTGAGAAACAGACAGAAAGAGAGCCTCCATCTGTTAGTTCATTTCTCAAATGCCAGCAACATTGGAGGCTGGGTGAGGCCAAAGCTAGGAGTGTGGAACTGGGACCTCCAAGCACCACAGGTAGTGGCTTAACCTGATGAGCCACAACATGGACACTTTAATGGGATTCTTAACCCAGGGTAAGATGCTGTTCTAGCTCTGTACTGTTGCTGGCTCTGAGAAGCCCAGCTGGGAGGACAGAGCTGGCACCTGTGACGACCCAGCTATATCATCCACACCTCCCCCAAAGACGTTTCTCTTAAAATTCCTCTGTGCATTAGCTCGGCTCTGTGGCTTGGCTTTACCAGTACACCGGGGCTCCTCCTGCAGCAACAGAAAACACCACATGATTTCTGCAAGAAGCTGGACTAGGAGTTATCTCACCTTCCCGTTCCCCTTTTGCTTCCTTCTCCTTCCTCTTAACTGTTATTCTTTATTCTACTTGACATGACAGACATGTCACAGAGAAAGCAGCAGAGTGGCTTGGCCAGTGCACTCACCCTCTTTCTCTGCACCCCCAAGCCCCCCCTCCTCTCAGTGCAAGACTGTCCTCCCCATCTGCACGCTGGCTTCCAAAACCACTTCTAAGACCCTTTGTGCAGCACTTGAGCAAAACTAAAGGCCAAAAGAAAAAGAAAAAAAAATAAAGAGAGAGGGAAGGAGGGAGAAAGAGAGAGAGAAAAAAAAGAAAGAAAATACTCAAATCATTGCATTTTATAAGTCTGTTATTAGGGCCAGTATGTGGTGTGGTAAGCTAAGCTTCTGTCTACAGGGCCGGCATCTCATAAGGGTGCCAGTTCATGTGCCAGTTCAAGTGCATGGCTCCACTTTCAATCCAGCTCCCCGCTTATGGCCTGGAAAAGCAGAGCAGGGCGAGGAGGATGGCCCAAGTGCTTGGTACGTTACACCCACACAGGAGACCTGGAAGAAGTTCCAGTTTCCTAGCTTCAGATGAGCTCAGCTCTAGCCATTGCAGCCATCTGGGGAGTGAGCCAGTCGATGGAAGACCTCTATCTCTGCTTTTCCTTTTTTGTCTGTAACTCTGCCTTTCAAGTACAAATAAATAAAACTCTAGAAAAAGACTGTTTATAATTTTGTTATTCAGTGAAGACAAAACGCAACAGGTCCAGTGTAATGAAAATGTCTGAGATACTAAGAAATACATCTCAATCACATTTCTAGTTCTCAGTCAATTACATTACAACACGAATTTAAAAGGATTAAAGTGAAGTGTTTTTAAGGCAGGGGGGAGAATTCGACAGATAAAATGACTAATTATTGAAAATAATGACTGGAAATACAGTGAAGCTAATGGAGGATGTGTCAGATGGCACACGCTTCTCCTCTCCTATATTTCAGAATGTTTTATACAGGTAAAAACTTTTAGAATAAAAAAATGTCTTCTGATATTTGAAAGTGTTTAAGATGAAACAGATTTCTTCTTGGCCATCATTTCATGACCCTAATAGATAAATGATATATTAAGGTATTATTGATTGTTTTCCATCCATATCTGTTTACTTAAGGCTATGCAGGCTATAAGATCACTGTTGTAAACAACTAGGGGAAGAGGATGAACTACAAAAACGCCTTATCCTCATGGAACTTTACCTATTAGAGAAACACAGCTCACACAATTAAACGAGTGAACAACTACTGGACACCAACAGTAGTGGGTGGAGAGTAACTCGTGCTAGTATTTTGACTGGGAACTAGACTGGGGAGATCCAGGAAGACAGATGAGAGAACTAAAGCCAAGAAGCTGAGCAAAAATACACGTGCCCATTTGAGGAACTGAAAGAGATCACGGTGTCTGTGGGGAAGACTGGCTGCAGGAAGAGTTACAACGTGAGGGCATTGCCCTTCCTCCAGGAACCTGCGGTGAAACAGCTCCATGGTCACATGGTGTATTCCTGATACCTCTTCTCTTTTAACACAAACCAGAAGAGGGCTTCAGATTTACAAGATTCTGCAGAGTGGTGAAAACAGAACATCTAAAGAAAAATTGAATCTCCCATTTTCACCTCTAGGCTACCTTTTCCTTGCTATCGTCCAATCGATGAAAAGGCCATGTCAGCCTCAAAGACAAAGTATGCATCAATGGCTACTCTGTGGATTGGGCTTACTGGTCTTTTCCAAATTCGAATTTCCCAGGTCCAATCCGAAGTAGATAGCCACTGAGCCACTTAGGGAACTGTCCTCGGACTTGAGCAGAGACCTCCAGGGGTGTCTCCTCCACGGTGCTCAGCAGTGGCTCAATGCAGGGCAGGTTCTGTCGCTGCCCCAAGACAGCTGCTTTCCGATGAGGACTCCTATTTCCCACATATTTCTTCAGGACTGTGAAGGGGAAAACCAAAAGCACACAATTATTTTACCAGAGCTTCTGTAAGCATCTTATGTCTCCACAGACAATATCTTATTAACTGGCAGCTTTAGGGTTACATGAACCTAACACCAACTACAGTCTCCAAATTCCTTTCCCTCCAACCTTGTCCTCAGACCACTAATACTTTAGTTCTGGATTGTTGAACCACAACAAATTTTGTATTTTTTTCAGGACAAATAGGCCTAAGAATTTACTCAGAACTTCAATTACAATTATCAATTCACGTAACTGAACAATGCGTGCCTTTTTATTAGAATAAATTTAATGCTAAGCTTAGATGTATAATTTTGTTATTATTCCAAAAATTATATGGACCCCAGTTCTTCAGATACATCAGAACACAATTCAAAATATTACATAGGGATTTCTGTGAATTTAGTGGGATGTTCAATTTAATTTCTTCTATTTTAGTGGTACTTACATTAATGTGTGTGACTTCTTCTAGGAGAAGGATTATACAGTTATACCCAATCTGAAATCACCAAAATCCAAAAGCCACAGAAGTAAAAAGGCTTACTCTATAATCAAGAGCTGAGTTTTTTCCCTTAGTATTTCATATTTATTCACAAGGCAACAGTAGCTGATACACACAATGGATAAATGTACAACTGAGTAAATACTATAAAATATAATTTTATATTCCATTTTGTGAAAGCTTAACAATGATACAGAAGTCTACAATAGAAAAAAGAGTTAACATGTAGGAACATAATTCCTATGAAGAAGTGAGATGAGCATGCTTTTAGCAATTTAAAAATATTATATCTATTTTCCAATTTATTTCAAACATTTCAGAAATTCCGTTTGGAGCACAGTAAACCTGTTTCCTGGATGTAACAATTCAGTCATTCCCAACCACTTCTTGATTTTCAAAAAAAAAAAAAAAGAATTCACTTTCACACAGAATACCTCTTCTCAAGACATATCTGCTAGAGAATTCTATCTGTTGTCCACGATCTATCTCAAATGTTACTTCCTGTTACAGTAGCAAAGTGTACTGTTTAAGAATTGGGTTGGGGGCTGACTCCATGGCACAATATATTAAGCCTCCTTCTGTGGTGCCACATCTCAGACTGTTTGGGTTCAAATCTTGCTTTGTCACTTTCCAAACAAGTAACCTCTCTCTCCTGTTTTAACTTTTTTTTTTTTTTTTGGACAATCTTCACACAGTTAATTAGGGTAAAAGGTTCAAGGGCTATAGGAAAGTGGGTAAGACTACTATTGCCATATTGCTCCCTTCATGTTTAAAGGGGAGTATTAAGGGAGAAGGCCCACCCAATTTCCCACCCTTCCCAGGTCCCACATGTAGAGTATGCTCCGAGGTTCTTGCTCAAGTGGTTTTGATAGTTCAACAGTTATGCTTCACTGCCAATCTTGCCACTCCAAGCACTATGAGGTCTTTGAAGAATCCACTGATTGACATAACCCATCATAGAGTCTCTGTTTGCCCCATATTTCGCTGCCAACATATAACTGAGATGGTTGATTGACCTGTTCTGTCTTCTCTCTTTTCTTGATTAGGGTTCTGAGTCCAGCATTTCAATTGGGGAGATCTCTAAAGAAATTTTGTCTGAGGTGTTCTCAGACCAAATTCTGGAATGTACTAGTGAGTACAGGGCCCGGCACAGTCCATTGCCCTGATCAGCTGGTGGTTGCAATTGCTGGGTTGGTTCTGTTTTCAGCCCCGACTTCCACTGGAATCAATGGGTGTTGCAGTCCAGCCTGGTTCTGCCCAGCAAATACTCGGCCCTTGCATAAACCAGTGGGAGCGACCCACAATAACCCCCATCAGGCCCGTCCCCTACCCTGGTTTGCCAGTATGTGTAGCAGTAGTCCAGTCTGTCCCACACCCCATTCTACCCCAGCCCCTGTCCTGGTTTTCATGCCCTCCTGTGGAAGTGGTAACCCAAGAGGGAGGAGCCCACTATTTCCCTCCCAGGCCTCTCCCACTCCCAGATTGTGCTCTCTCCAGGTAATTCTGTGGTTTAATTTGACAGAACTAGCCCCCAGTGCCAGCTTCTGCCAGTTGATGCTGTGGCTAAGCCCAAACAACCCTTACCCACTCTAATTTTGTTTGCAACAGCAGGAATAATCAGTCCAGCCTGGCTTTTCCCTGATCTAGTCCACATGAGGCGTACAGGTGTTATAGCCCTGCTTAGTCTGGTCTGCCCCCATCCCAGCTCATGCTCTCCAGTGGGAGTAGCTGTCCAGCAAAGGAACCACCCCTTATTCCCCTGCCTGCTTCGCCCCCTCCCTTCCTGGTTCTCATGTGTGCTGGTTGGGTGCTGCAGTCACATCCGGGACAGGCAACCTCACCTTGGCATTCCGTATTGTGCACTGGTCTTTGTAACGACCAAACCCAGCTCGACCCACACTGTTCTGGTACTTGGATTTGCCAGTGGATGACGTGGACAGATTCAGCCTGGTCTTCCCCTGACCCATGCCAAATGTATGCCAGTGGGAAACTTTCCATGGCCTGTTCTGGGCTGTTTCCTATCATGTTTCCTGCGCTTTCCTTTCTTGCCGGGTCTGTGTCCTGTCAGAGGAGTTGCCTAGGCTCCTCCATCAGAACCTCTCCCAATACCAGATTTTGCGCATACCAGTGGGTCTATGAACCAGCCCTAGTCAGTTCACCTCCTGTCCCAGCAGGAACAGTGGCTTTTCCTGACTGGCCTTCAACCCAAATTGGTCCTTGCTGTTGGATGTTTCAGCCCAAGCCATGGCTTGTCCATACCCACATATTGCTCACGCATGGCTCAGTAGGGGTTGAGACCTTGACTAGTCCATCCCACATCTACCCTGGGTTCCAGGACACCAGAGGGTGTTCGAGTCTGGCCCAGCGCAGTGCATCCAATCCCAGTACACATTTGTGCCAAGGGAGACTACAACCGTTTCCCATTCAGAACGCAGCCCTCATTCCAGGCCATGCGCCCCCTTGGTGAGAGCCTCAACCCAGCTAGGGTTGTCCCCTTAGCTTCTCAACCAGGCCAGTTCCCAGCCATAGATCACGTGCATGCCAGTGGTTGCTCTGACTCAGCTTGGCTCAGTCCCTCACCTGTCCCGACCCATGCCTTAGACACTGTGGCTTAGCGTTCCTGGCTCATGTAAACCAGTAAGTGTAAGAGCCTAGCTCGGCATGACCTGTGCTCCCTCCTGGTCTCGTTTTGCTTGTGGGCTAAGGTTTGCTCAGTCCTGCCCGGTCCACCCTGTTCCATTACCAATTGACACATTACCCAGCTGTTGGAGCAACTTTGCCCAGTTTGTCCAACCCCCAGGTCTGGTCCACATGTTCACCAGTGGGAGCTATGACTCGTCAAGGGAGTTTCTCACGATCCTCCACTTAATCCACTCCCAGACGCAGTTCTCTACATGCCATTGAGTTTAGGCCAGTACCCGGCGCAGTCTGGCCTTCCATTTGGCCTTGTATGAGCTGGTGAACGTTGCAGCCTGGCCCACCCCACACCCTATTCAGGATGCACATTTGGGTGCTGCTGTCCTGACCAGTCCAGACTGTTGGGGGTTCCTTTACCTGTGATTGATGGCAGGCTCCTTGGTCACACCTAGCTAAGTCCATCACCATCCCAACTCTTGAGCTAACCAGTGGGGCTAGAATTTCCACAAGGTTTGGCCTACACGTCCCTTACAGAATCTACCCCCAGTTATGGTTCTCGAGTGCTAGTCAATGTAATGGCCCTGCTTAATGTGACCCTTCTCCTGATCCATCATCATGTCAGGTAATAGGATATGATTCTGTAGGACAAGACCCAAGCCATAGCTTTTGCATGGACTGGTATTTGGTGGTCAGCATTGTTCAGTGATTACAAGTTTTTCAAAGGAAGAGTTACTGTCATTGGGAACCTTTACGATTGCTTCACAGCTTAGAAGCACAACGGGTTCAACCTGGAGCTACCTAAGCAGCGATTCAAAGAACCAAACTCCAGAGCTCCCCGGCCGGGCAGCCAGAAAAGGCGGAACCTGGCACCAAATGGCACACTGGGCACCGGGGACAGCTCACCATGTGCACATGGTGGCTGGCTGCTGGAAGTTTAAACTCCCAGGCCCAAGGTCGGACCCTTCCCAAATCCCATTCACCGCCCAATGAGGGTGGTGGGTGGGCCCCTGATCTGCCCAGCCACCAGCCACAGAGTCCTCCCCACTCAGTGTACTCACCCCGAAGGGAGCAGCCTCCAGAGCCCAGGCAGGCCCGGGGACAGCTCACCATATGCACATGGTGGCTGTCGTCTGAGATCCAGGCATGAGATGCCCCGTCCTGAGACCCACCCCTGTTTTAAGTTTTCTAAGATGAGGATAATAATGGCTCTTATACCTAAGGCTACAAGCAATAACTTAGTTTATGCAAAAATTTTAAAAGACAGAAGGGATCTTTAAAAATTTCACAGAAAATAAGCACTACAGAAAGCTAACCGTGCATTTTGAAATTTTTTGTATCAAAACAAACTCTTAGTAACTGTAGTTGGAGGTTCCAAGAAGGATAAAATATCAGTTTAGAAAAAACCTTTTTCAAAGCAACATTCTGGTAAAATTGAAGTAAGAACATCAAATTTATGATGCAGTTTATGGGGTAGAAGGATGTGGAATCACTGATGCTTTATAAAAATTTTACAGGGACAATGCTCCAAGGAAGCCAAGAGTTTACAAATGGATAACTCATCTTTACAAAGGGTTAGACAGAGCCCAGCATCAATGATATAGCAGTCCGAGTCACTGCCTGCGGTCCTGGCAGCCTATATGGGCACTGGTATGAGTCTCACTGCTCCACTTCCAGTCCAGCTCCCTGCTAATGGCCTGAGCAAAGCCACAGCAAATGGCCCACGTGTTTGGGCCCCTGTCTTTCTTGTGGAAGACAAGGAAAAAGCTCCTGGCTTCAGCCTGGCTCAGCCACAACTGTTGCAACCATCTGCAGAGTGAACCAAAGGATGGAAGATCTTTCTCTTTTTTTCTTTCTCTCTCTTTCAAACAAACAAAACAAAAATTTTTTAAAAGGATGGAACAATGTTGTGGCAGAAGTTTACAAGGAAAAAAAGCATTTAGTTCATGCCATAATAATTGTGCCATAATCATTATGTCATTTAATATAAACACATACAGCAGAAAAAGAAAGAGCCCATATTTTAAGCAGAAATTTGCCAACATAAGGACTCTGAGAGCTCATATCTGAGGGCACGCAGTAGAGCAACCCTGTGAAGGAATATTTTGTCAGTGTATGGGTTTCCTGCTTAGTGTAAGTGATGGGCTGAAGATGCATATTCATACTCACAGCGAAGGAAAGCCATATATGTGCTTGTTCCAAGGGCAGCAAGGCAATTAGCCAGAAACAAGGCCTGGATGAGCACCAAAGGACACACAATGAAAAGTGTTTCCAAAGCGATATCTGTGATTTGGTTTTCAGCCTGCAGAAAATGTTGTTTTGACACAAGATGACTCACATTCCCGAGTGTCCACCAGCAGAATGCCAATGTTGCTGTAAGAAGTTTACAAGGAATGATTCCTTCCATGGGGTAGCTGATAGCTTATGGGAGCTGTACAGGAATTAAACAATTCAAAAGAGCTCCTAATCATGCCAAGTTCTTATCTGATCAACCAGGACTAGACAAAAGCAACTTGCTGGTCTGTTTTTATTTGCTTATCCTTGGAGCTTTCATATGCATAAGCAAAAACAACCAAAACAAAGGCTTACTTTCATTGAAAAATATTATCAATAAGGGGAAACAACCCTCCAAAACCTTGCAAAATACTGCTTGTGTTCTGTCTTATCAAAATGAAAGCAGGAGAAGCCAACACTGTGGCATAGTAAGTAAAGTCACAGAGAGCGCCCAGTATGGATGCCAGCCCAAGTCGCTGATGTTCCACTTTGAATCCAGCTCCCTGCTAATGTGCCTTGGGAAGCAACAGAAGATGGCCTCTGCACTCCCATAGGAGATCCTGAAGAAGCTCCTACCTCCTGGCTTTACACTTGTCCAGCTTAGGTCATTGTGACCATTTAGGGAGTGAACCAGCAGATGAAGCTTGCTCTCTCTTCCCCTAGCTCTGCCTTTCAAACAAACAGATTAACCTTAAAAAATAAATAAATGAAGTGGAGACAGGAGTCATTGCTGTGTCTTGACCCATCTCTGTCTGACATTTTACTGTTATCCTTTGAGTCTGAGTGTGTATTTGTTTGTACTTGTGTATGCACTTACAAATAATGGTTATGACAGCTGGTTCTTGTAGCTCCAGTTGTACAATTGGTTAGCACGTGGTACTTATAAGACAACTGGTTCTTAATTTAGACCAAAAGGAATCAAGATATCCAACTATTTTCTTACATATAAGATTGAAAGCAAAACTTTTTGAAACACCAAGAATAACAAGATAAACACTTAGTATTTTATGAGAACTCATTTATTTAACAGTTTCATATACAAATGAGTCTAAAATGGATATTTGAGAATTTTAAAATATTTTCATACCTGAATGTTCCATACTTCACAGCACGCCACTGGCAATCTATTATACCTGTTCAAGCTTTCTACAGTGCCTGAGATTATTGTCAATCCTTCCTTAAATACCTCTCTGTCCTTGGTCTCAGAGATGTTATACTATTTCAACTTTCCTACTTCCTGACCACTCTGCTTTATGCCAACTCCACTACCTGACTGGCAACTTTGCATAAATTCCTTAATCTCTGTGAGATGTAGGTTTTCTGATGATAAAATGGTGATAAAAAGAGGTTGATACTTCCTGTTCATGTCTGTCATCATAGTTTAATACTTTACCAAAGTTATTTTCATTATTGGCTCCTTTTCCTCTTATCATGTCATGAATGGTTACCTCAGGTCTGACCTTAGACCTGTGCTCTAATCTCAGCAGTTTGCCTCAGCAATCACAGCTGGGCTTTTAACTTCATCAGTCACTCCTTTTTTTGCTTTCAAGGTTTATTTACTTATTCATCTGAAAGGCAGAGTTATGGAAAGGAGAGACGGAGATCTTCTGCAGCATCACTCCCAAATGGCCACAATGGCCAGGGCCACACTAAGCTGAACCTAGGAGACTGGAACTTCTGGGTCATTCATCTGAATGGCAGGGGCCCAAGGACCTGGGTCACCTTCTGCTGCTCCACCAGATACTAAGGAAAATCCTGGACAATTTCAGTTCTGCTATTCACACCTTCCACCCCAGCCTAACTCCACCACTCCCCCATTCTCTTATCCTCATCATAATCACACCATTTTCTCCACCTGGGATAGTTCCCATCTTCTTGAGGCAAAATTCATTTCACTAACTCACTTATCCAATTCAAGGGATTGTTTCCACCTGCTCCACAAACATATTCTCCTTAGTTAGAACCCATACAGCATCTGTAGCTCTCTGGCCCTGATTTTGCCTGTATGACAATAATGTATAGATTTTGTAACCTTTACTGCCAGTTCAGGGTCTGGTTTTTGTCTTCTCTCTTCCTACAAAACCTAACACATCAATTTCTATATGCAAGCACTGAATTCCCAAATTAAGTAATTTTAAAAGTAGTAGTCCTGCACCCAGCGCAATAGCTCAGTGGTTAAAGTCCTCCCCTTGAACATGCCAGGATTCCATTTGGGCACCGGTTCTAATTCTGGTAGCCCTGCTTCACATCCAGCTCCCTGCTTGTGCCTTGGGAAAACAGTCGAGGACAGCCCAAAGCCTTGGGTTCCTGCACCCACGTGGGACCCGGAAGGGCTTCTGGCACCTGGCCTCGGACTGGCTCAGCTCCAGCCATTGCGGTCACTTGGGGAGTGAAACATCAGACGAAAGATCTTCCTCTCTGTCTCTCCTCTCTGTAAATCTGCCTTTGCAATAAAAATAAATAAATCTAAAAAAAAAAGTTGTAGTCCTAATCAGTATGATTTTTCATAGCTCTATTTCAACCAATTTCATGAAACAAAGTCCAATAATCATATTTTTTAATAGAAAACTGCAAGATAAACTGTCTTAACTACTAGAAAGCAAACAGAAAAATATTTACATTAGAATGTAAACAGCCATGATTTTCAATCCAGGAAAAAGTGTGACTAGGGAGCATTCCTGTCACAAAGCCAACACAATCCTTAAATCCTGAATTGTGCCTTTATGTGCTCTGTAAAATACACAATGAAGACAGTTTCCCTGACGACAAAGAAATAAATCCTGACTGAGTCTTCCTTTAACTTCTGGCTGCCCATCTGTGCCTCACACACCAATGAAAGCTTCAGAACCCCTCCATAACCTTCAGGAAACAAGCAAAGAATTCTAAGAAGTTTGGCCATGGAGGAAGTAGATGGGAGGACGAAAAGAAAAAGGAACAAATCCCCTACCTGGGAGCCGGTGCATCACCACAGTGAGGAAACCTACTGCAATGGTAGAAAAGTTGCTGACAAACTGGAGAAAGGTTTGAAAAAGCATTCTTTGTGCTGAATGGTACAGATCTTGTGATTGCTAAAGCCTCCCACACTGCCCTTTGTAAGTACTGCTGAGCAGTAGAGACATACTTCCTGGTCTGTCCCAGGCTCACTGACTATGGGGGAGGGGGAAGGGTTAAAGGGCTGAGCTGCAAAACAGCTGTAATCTCTTGGTTAATTTCCTTGGCAAGTACCCCAGAGGCTGCATACACATGATCAGCAATCTGAAATATTGTGGTTGGAGTGTAAACAGTAGTCTCCCTCTCTAAATTTCTCATTTTTTATTCTGTCATGATGCCACATATCTATTTCAATTGTTCTTTCTCATCTCAGCAAGATTAAAATAGAGACCAAGGTCCAAATTTAGATTGCCAATAAAGGATCTCTCTCTTTTTTTTAGTATTTACTTATTTTTATTGGAAAGTTAGATATACAGAGAGAAGGAGAGACAGAGAGGAAGATCTTCCATCTACTGGTTAACTCCCCAGCTAGCCACAACGGCTATAGCTGAGGTGACTGAACCCAGGAGGAACCAGGAGTTTCCTCTAGGTCTCCTGTGCAGACACAGTGTCCCAAGGCTTTGTGCCCTCTTCTACTGCTTTCCCAGGCTACAAGCCCATACGGGATCCTGGGCAGGTAAGGTAAGGATTTCAGCCACTAAGTCTTTGCAGTGATCCTGCCAATAAAAGATCTTACAATTTGGTTCATACCTTACCTTTCATCCTTTATCTACCGTCCCCATCTCTTACATTTTATGAAGTTTTATAACTTCTAAAGGTATACTCTATATTTATAAACATACCAGTTTATTAATTCAGAGACACATTAGTCATTCAGTATTATTTAACTTCCATTTTTCTTCCTGTTGTTTATTTTGTATTGTGGCTTTTCATTTAAGGAGATGTACAATAATCGTAATGGAGACTATCATATCCAGATGTAAGGATACAATGCAGTATGCATTTTTGCTTCCAGACAAAGATGGACTCTCAATGAAACTGTTTACTATATCTTGACAACAGAAAGCTGGACTCTGCCATTGTCCATGCCTGCAATGATGGGGACATGTGACTGTGTATGAAGAACTATACTATAGTAATAATATAGGGGAACTCAGTGAGGTGGGAGGGAATGGGAGAGGAGTTAAGGGAAATCCCAGGGCCTATTGAACTGTATCATAAAATAGTAACAACAAAAAAAGTAAAATTTTTAAAAACAAAAAATAAACAGACCAGTTTTTCTGATTTTACTGCTTAAGCAATTTTCAGCATCAGTGTATCAAATATTATATTTTTTCTCCCTAAAATACCTTCCCTTTTCTTATCAAAAATCCAATCCAAAGTTTTCAATCCCCTTCCTAAAGATAACATTGCCTTAGAGATGCTTTAAATATCAACATATTATGTCTTCCTAATAAAGAGTTAAGTACATTTCAAGAACAGAGTGGTTAAAATTGTGAGAAGGCTAGCCCCAGTATTTGGTGCAGCAAGTATGACACAGAATGCTTGGTTCAAGTTCTGGCTCTGCTCCCAATTCTAGCTTCTTGCTAATGTGCATCCTGGGGGGCAGGGGTGAATGGTTCAAGTGTTTTAATCCCTGCCACCCACTGAGAGACCTGTATAGAATTCCTGACTCCTGGCTCCAGCCTGGAACAACCTTGGCTCTTGCAGGCATTTGGGAAATAAACCAGTGGACAGAACATCACTCTGAGCCTTTCAAGTATGTAAAAATAATATTTAAAATGAAGAAATCAGTGAGATGATATTTAAAAAAGAAAGAAAACTATCAGAAGGCCAAATCTTGAAGTATTTCATAGAGGTACCTGTAGTATGAGTACAAAGGTGAGTAAATAATTTTGAAGGGGTGGAACTTTAGAGAAATCAGTGGTATTGAAAGTATTAATTATAACAGACTGATGGAGTCATGACTCATTATGAAGGACTATACTACTGTAGCAACGTGGGGAAAATCTGTCGAGGGAGTGAGAGTTTTGAAGGAGGGAGGAATCCAGTCTCTATGGGGAAAAAAAAAAGTATTAAAGGAAAATGGCATTTCTACAAGAGTATATTTTTCTGTTACAAAACAGTTGTTCTTTTTTACCTGGATGGTACCCAAGTCACCAAATTTGATTTTTAAAAAAGGAAAAAAAAAAAAAGAACAGAAGTTGCGGGGGAGTGGCATCCAGCTAAGGGGCACAGATAGTTAAGTCACCACCTGTAAGCCCAGCATCCTATATGGGTACCGCTCCTCTTCTAACCCAGCTTCCTTCTGATACAGCTGGAAAAGCAGCAGCAGATGGCCCAAGAGCTTGGGCCTCTGCCACCCTGGTGGGAAACCAGAGGGTATCCTGGCTTCAGCCCAGCCTACTCCCAGCTATTGCAGTCATTTGGTGAGTAATCCAATGGATGCACAAATCACTGTCTGCCTCTCTGCATAACTCTGCCTTTCAGATAAATACATAAATCTATTTTAGAAAGAGATGAGCCTTAAACATTGGACTTTCAAACACTTTTATATACTTTTGTAACAGGAAGGCACCTGTTCGGAATAGAAAATGCATTATAACTTAAAATCAGATCCTTTTCAACCAAATGAAATGATCAAATCAATAACAAATGAATGCCGAGGGAAATGACTGAATCAATTTTGTGAACTTCCAAAAGAAAGAATAGAATGTTGAATAGTACTGATACCTACTATAGCAAGTAATATTATATGGGGCCCAGCACAGTAGCACAGCAGCCAAAGTCTTTGCTTTGCACATGCGAGGATCCCTTATGGACAACGGGTTCTAATCCTGGCAGCCCCACTTCCCATCCAGCTCCCTGCTTGTGGCCTGGGAAAGCAGTCGAGGACAGCCCAAAGCCTTGGGACCCTGAACCCGCGTGGGAGACCTGGAGGAAGTTCCTGGCTCCTGACTTCAGATCGGTACAGCTCTAGCCATTGTGGCTGCTTGGGGAATGAATCAGCGTAGGGAAGATCTTGCTCTCTGTCTCTCCTCCTCTTTGTATATCTGACTTTGCAATAAAAATAAATAAATCTTTAAAACTGGATGAACATTTTTAAGATTTATTTGTTTTTATTAGAAAGTTATACTTACTCTGGGAAGACAAGATAAAGAAAGAGCTTCCATCAACTGGCTCACCCCTCAAATATCCACAATGAACTGAGCTGAGCAGAGCTGAAGCCAGGAGCCTGTCCCTGCGTGGGAGACCCAGAAAAAGCTCCAGACTCCTAGTTACAAATCATCTCAGCTCCAGCAGTGGCAGTCATTTGGGCAGTGAACCAGTGGAGGAACGGTCTTTCTTCCTCTCTGTATATATCTGCCTTTCCAGTGAAGAAAAAAAACTTATTTATTTGAAAGGCAGTGTTAAACAGAGGGAGAGAAAGGAAGGAAGGAAAGGAAGGAAGGAAGGAAGGAAGGAAGGAAAGAAGGAAGGAAGGAAGGAAGAAAGAGAAAGAAAGAAAGAAAGAAAGAAAGAAAGAAAGAAAGAAAGAAAGAAAGAAAGAAAGAAAGAAAGAAAGAAAGAAAGAAAGAAGGAAAGAAAGAAAGAAAGAAAAAAAGAAAAGAAAAAAGAAAAGAAAGGGAGAGAGAAAGAAAAGAAAAGAAAAGAAAGGGAGAGAGAGAGAGAGGAAGGAAAGAAGGATTGATTTCCCATCTATTGGTTCACTTCCCAAATGATTGCGATGGCTGGAGCTCGGTTGGTTGGAAACCAGAGTTTCTTCCAGTTCTCCCACATGGGTGCAGGGGCCCAGGGACTTAAAACTGTGTTCCCAGGTGTTCTGGTAGGGAACTCAATGGAAACTGGAGCAGCTGGAACTCAAACTAGTGCTAATATACCGGCCACTTTTTTACTTGTATTGTCCTTTTCTTGTATGAATATTTGCACAGTATAGCATTAAGGCTTTAAACAGTAATAGGTGAAATAATACTGTACGAATTCAAAAGCTATCTCCCTTTAGAAATATCAAGCCCTTGTGATACTGTTTATAAATATGTTTAAACTCATACTGACCAAAAAATGCACAAAAATGCTGTGCATTTTTAAAAAGAATCTGAATGATGAAGTAATCTCATATAGTTATAAAGCATAAAGTAAGTTTTCAATAATAGCATAACAGTACTTTATATCCAAAGAAGAAATTTTAGAGCTGGTATAATAGGTAAAGCCACTGCCTGTGACAGATACCAGCATCCCACATGGGTGCCAATGCAAGCCTCAGGTGCTCTGCTTCTTACATGGCTCCCTTCTCATGGCCTGGGGAAAGCAGCAGCAGATGGCCCAAATGCTTAGAGACCTGGAAGAAGCTCCTGGCTCTTGGCTTTGATCTATTTCAGTCCTGACTATTGTGGCCAATTGGGGAATGAACTAGTGGATGGAAGATCATTGTGTCATTCTCATTCTGTCTCCAACTCTGCCTTTCAAATAAATAAATTTTTTTTTTTTTTTTTTAAAAATGGAGAGCCCAATGTTGTACCTAGTGGTTAAAGCCCTCACCTTGCATGCACTGGGATCCCATAAGGGCAGCAGTTTGTGTCCTGGCTGCTCCACTTCCCATCCAGCTCCCTGCTTGAGGCCTAGGAGAACAGTAGAGAATGACCCAAAGCCTTGGGACTCTGTGCCCGCATGGGAGACCTGGCCCTTGGCTTCAGATAGGTTTAGCTCCAGCCATTGCAGCCAGTTGAGGAGTGAAATCAGTGGATGGAAGATCTTTCTCTCTCCTTTTCTCTGTATACCTGTCTTTCCAAAAAAAATTAATAAATCTTGGGCTCTGTGCAATAGCTTAGTGGCTAAAGTTCACACCTTGCATGTGTTAGGATTACATACAGCCACTGGTTCATGTCCCGGCTGTTCCACTTCCCATCCAGCTCCCTGCTTGTGGCCTAGGATAGCAGTAGAGAACAACCCACAACCTTGGGACCCTGTACCAGTGTGGGAGAACCAGGAGAAGCTCAAGTTTCCTGGCTTTGGATCAGCTCAGCTCTGGTCATTGCAGCCACTTGGGGAGTGAGCCAGTGAATGGAAGAT